AAAATGTAGACGATAAGTTTTACAGAACAGAGGTAGAAAGCGTGGAAAGCCTTGCTTGTCTGTGACCGTCAATTTTCAATCATAATCTTTCCTTTGAAATTTCTACTGTGGCTTTTCAAAATGCAAAACTTTCCGGTAACCAATGCTTTTTTGCAGATATAAACTCGGTTAACAAAAGCATAATATCAAAAGCTTGTAAAGCAAACTCTTCTAAAGTTCTATTCTGTTCTATAACTTTGTTACCAAATATTGATTTGTTCTACTCTTCTACTAGCTGAAAATGTGGGGTAGCTTTAGCGTTTTTATTATATTTTGATAAAGACAAAAACAAACATTAGAGCTTTAAAAATATTCATAAAGAGCCTTTTGTTTATGCTGCGCAAACGTGGTTTTAATAGGAAAATTTGCATATTAAAGAGAGAAGACAAAGAAATTTAAAGAGAGCCTTTATTTAGAAGTGACAAACATAATACAGTTTTGATCAAGCAAAAATATTCCACTTCACAATTTATAGTTTTTATAACTTAGCGCCCTAGCACAAAGTTTTTAGCAAGAAATCTACACCGTATATCTTCTTCTCACTACAAAAGAGTTTTCAGTCGCAAATATTACATGCAACCGCCACAGTGGTACTTAAATGTTAGTCACTTTTGCTGTTGATCAAAGTTGAACTGCAGAAAGAAAAACAAATGGAGTTGCTCTCACTAAATGCGAAACCTAACTATCAGTTTACAGTGCTTCCGTTAAATATGAAAAAAATTCATAACCTACCGTTTTCGATCACATCCGAGTATCCGAGTAAGATTTGCTTCACTGCTTTCAAGAAAACATAATTTCTATTTATTCTTTAGAAATGAAGTTTAGTCGAATTATACCTTGAAAAAATATTTGCGCAGATTGGTCAGTTGCCGGTTGTAAAAAGATAATTTTACGCAGAGAGAGTGTATACAATGCTTTTTCTGCAACTATCAGTTATAAGCATTTTTGAAACTTGGCTGATTATCTAAACTAGTTAAGCAGCTATTATCTTGCTTCTTAAATAGCAGTTTTTTTTGTGACTATATACGTTTTAAAGTAACAGTAACAATAAAAGTGACTGTATAAAAACAGCGCTTAATTCCTTAACTTTTTAAAATTTATTTTTTTGTTAAAATTGCTTTTTACTCAATGAAGATTACAGTCACACACTTTAGTGAATAAGACATTATGAATCAAGGATTTATCACTGAAGGTGGTTCACAGCCGGCGCAGTAGAAAATCTAAGTGTGAGATTGATTATTCGGCATTCTGCTATAATTTGGTCAAGATTAAGACAACTTAAAGCTTACTTGCAACAAACGTTTTAAAAGTTGCCAAGAAAAATTATTTATAAAGTGGAGAAAAGAGAAAATCTTACGACCAGAAGCAAAAGAAGAAAATTTATAACAAAACTACAGGTAGGTGATAAGAGTGCTAATGTTTTGAATAGTACTTTTTTGTAAGCTGCCGCATTTCTACAGAAAAATCGATAGTTATAGGAAAACCTTTATTTTCATATACTTCTAAGTGTTCCGTTTTACACATTTTGAGCGAACAGAGAGAATATATAGAAAGGTACTTAAACCTAAATGTTAAAGAAGCAAATCTTCCGAGAAGAACTTCAAAACATGACAACTTTGCCAAACCTCTGAAATTAACTTTACAGTGTTGAAAAGTGTAAATTTTACCACAAAAAGTGCTTCAAATCTCAAAGCTAATTTTGAAGCAGTTTTTTGAAAACTACAGTTAAAATTAAAATTCATAGACTGTCGGTGTGTGCCTTTCGAACATTCTGCGCATTGTTGTTTTTCAAAGAATCTTTACTTAACAGGTCAAATAGTACGCTCTTCTAATACCAATCTAGCAAAATAAAAAAGATTTTAGTTACAAAACTTTTTTTTTTGTTTTCAGTTTTTATATCAAAACTGCGCTTTTTCCTTAGTAAAAGTTATAAAAGTTAAAGACGTAATTTCAAAATAATTGGCAGTTACAGCTTTATTATTAAACAGCATTAACAGTTTTTTGACAGTCATTACTTTTAAGAAGAGTCTGAGAAGGTAGCGCAGAAGCAGCAGCTAAAATGACAATTTTTACGTTAGTTCGAGCGTCACTTTTCATAATCATTTCTGCGACTCTTGAAACATTTATAACGCACTTTTAAAAGAATATTTGTTATGACCACATTTGAACTCCTTATCTGGCGTAATTTCTTCAAATTTTTTAGTGTTACATTTAACTTTCTAAGATAGCTTAATCAGGAAATACTACTAG